GAGATGCTCAAAAACATTGTTTGCATCCATGAAAATTCTTATGCTTAAAGGTGGTTAAAATTTTAAGGGTCACTTGTTTGATATTTTGATGCTTGAATTTATGCTAGTAAACTCTCCCTCACAGTGTTTAATTATTTTGATTCTTCATTTTCTCCTTGGGTATGTGGTGTAAGGTAGTTCTCCAATTCTACTTTAGGTCATACCTTTCTTTTTGACTTGGCAGCTAGTAAAACAATTTTGATTTTTGTAATCTAGTTGCTGTCAATTTAAGGTTAACTAACACCTTGCATTGCTTTTGCCCATGTAAATGTCAGATCCTTTGACTGCCTTGATGTATGCAGTCCAGGTGATGAATTTTCTTACAATGCTTATCATTAAGACACTTAGAGAAAGAGAAGACTCTATGGTAGAATCTGCTCTTGCTTCCTACCTAGAGCCTTTTGATAAGAATGGGCACCAAAGCTCTTCACAAGTGTATCCTGAGAATGCAGTGGAGGAAATTCACAATGGAAATGAAGAAGAAGTATTTCTCACTGAAGAACCTCCCATAGAAAGCCCCACTCACTCTACAAGAGAGGAATCTACAACTAAAGGAAATTGTCAAGGTCTCCTAATGTCAATCAAGAACATCATTCCTTTCGGATATCAATGCTTAGTTGATAATAGCCCTTGGCAGGTTCTTTCTCAAGTATCCTCTTTAACAACCAAACTCCAGCAAAGTGGCCTCACAAGTTCAAAAGGCAAGAGCAAAAAAGGTCAATCTATTTTGAAGCTCAAGAAGATATCTACAAAGGTCAATGAACGACATATAGTTTGTGTAGCTGGAGCTGTAGAGAATAATAGCAAGAGAATGGGGCTTGTAAGTTGCCCAAATTCTCGGGCAGAGCTTTTTGAAGCTTGAAGATGAAGGGCAATGAAGGGTGTTGGGTAGAAAATGGCATTCTAATGTTTCCATCTGCAGGGGTGGGGAACAAGTGTTTGTGTAAGATTTCTTGTGTGTTTTTGTACGTTTTTGTGGGTTGAAATTTGTTTACTTTTGTTTCATATTTCCTAACTCCTTCTAACATTCTCTACTTCCAGGTACAGCTTCTGGTCAACTGAAATTCCTTATCCAACTTCCTTGAACATTAGAATGAACAGTACACGTTTAAGACTAAAAAATGGTACACTTGAGACTAAATATTCTACATTTTGATCATGAATTCTCCTGTATGCGCTCCACTAGTAACAGTCTAACTCCAATAGACGACGGTTTCAACCAAGCAAACTTAGTATGTGACAGGGGACTCAATCGATGGAAGGATTGAAAGAAAAAAATTCTTTCAATAAGTATTTATCTCATGTGATATAACAACCTAATGAAATGTGAAAAAAATACATATTTTTTCTAACTTAAAAAAAAATAACTTTAAATTATATCATTTTATTTAATTAAAACTTAATTTGAAATTTGAAATTTTATTTTATTAAATATTGACATTTAAATTTAAAAACTGATTAAATTTTTAAATTTTGAATTGAGATTTCAATTTATAAATATAGATTAAAACTTTAATTTTTTTTAAGAGTTGAAATTGATACACACTAATTTTATAAAATTTTAATCTATATATAGATTAATTTTTTTATCCACTTTGGCCATCACTTTTTTGACGATATGTTAAATTATAATCGACTGGTTATGCATATGGTTATGTTAAATAGTTAAGAGGGTACGATTATTAGTTTGATAAAATTCATCGGAAAAGTGTTTTTCAACATGGACAACACCTTTTCTTGGCAAAAACTCATTGAATCCCTTCCCTTATTAAGTTTGATATTTTTAACTACTTACCTTATATATTGATGTTTTTAGCCCTTCATATGTTCAACTTGAAGGAAATAGCCCAAAATTAATGACAAGTTGCCGCATGCCTTATGACAATTAACATTTTGTTATCACTTTACCTTATCATTGCGACACGAGCTAATTTTCTTAACATTTCATTATCTCTTTTTTCATTAATTATTATTTAATTAAGCTTAATTTATATTAATTTTTATAATTTTTCATCTTTTTTTTATTATTATTATTGTTCATTAATTAATAAGACTAAGCCCTAAAACAAATCGAAACTGTCAATAACAAACAATACATATTGAATTTGTGGAAAGAAATTACAATGAATATCTATCTTTCTTGATATGGACTCTTTAACCTTTTCGAAGATTCTTTAAGCTTTTAACCTAAATTCTCCAAGTTAGTGGAAAAAGTAAAGAATATTTATCTAATAGTTCAAAATATCAATGGAAGTCTTTTGTTTTGTCATTTGTTTCATTTTTTTATTATTTAGTTTTTGGGTCAATTGAGAGTTACTTAATTTTTAATTTAGAATTTTCACCTATGAAAAACAATGACAAGCCTACTTAGCATAAATTAGCTTATGAGGCAATGATAAAGAAAGAGATAATGAAATGTTAATAAATACATGAGGACTTGATAACTTAACGTTAATTTTAAACAATTTCCTTCAAATCAAATAGATGAGGAATTAAAAATATTAGTGTACAACGTGAATAGCTAAAAGCATTAAGTTTAGTAAGGTAATAGACTAAAAGTAAGTTTTTGGGGTTTTTTTTTTTTTTTGGGAGTTTAATATATAAATTACCAAAACACCCTTGATAAACAGTAAAAAATTGTAGTTCATGGTAAAAAAAAAAAAAAAAAAAAAACCTATCTCTTGATTTATTTCATTTTCTAAAAATAATAATTAAGAATATGGGCCATGAAAAAAGGGTTAACAAATCCAGCCCATGCTCACAATGCTCAGAAAATTACTGATTTCGGAATTCATCGACATAGTTGCTGCCGATTGCCTTGAAGTTCAAGGCCCGGCGATTCCCCGGTAATATATTTTTTTCCCCCAAAGCCGCCCCCACCTCCCCTCCTCTCTCCGTCGTCTCTCTATTTGGGATTCAGACAGCCAGTTTTACGTGCTATATTCTTTGCTGTTCTGTACAAGCACTGTGCATTTTACTCTGTCTGGAATTTGGTTAACCAATGTTTCGTAATTTTTGAGCGCAAATTTTGCTCAGATTTTAACATTTTTCAAGCAAGACAGCTTTCTTCCGACACAAAATAGAAGTTTCTGCTTTTGGGTTTTCGAAATTAAGTTCTTTTTGGGCATTCTTATAGTTATGCAAAGATTCAATTTTTAAGGTTCTGGATTCTGTCTGATTGCTTTTATCTGTTAACAATTGATTGTTTAAATTTCCCATTTTCTGTTGGTCTTAGATATGCACTTTGTGGGTTTGCTTATCGTGAATTGTCTTGTTTCTCGCAGGCTGCTGCTTGTGTAGCTGCTCCTCATATCTAGCAGTTTGGAATGCATGATCTCAGTTTTGTGCAAACGGAATTTCATGATGAATATAAGATGCTTCCAGAACAATTTTTCGGCTGCTTCATTTCCTTTGGTTCCTGTGCAACTTCCATCTCGGATGTAACTCTTTTGCTTCCTTCCTTGTTCCAATTTTTCGTGCTTTTCATTAAGAATCATGTTAAATATCTTATGTCTTGTGTTACGCCCTGGAAAACTATTTTTGTGTTTAATGAGTTCTGTCTTATGTTCCAAGTTTATTTAAGGGTGACTTAGTAGATAACTTGCTGTTTAGAATGGATGATCTTATTTTGGTTAGAAGCGAATTTTCATGATGAATATACAATGCTTCCATAAAAACTTTTCTGCTGTTTCATCACCTTTGGTTCCAATGCAACTTTCATCACAAATGTATTATTTTTCATTTGTGGCAATTTCTTGTGCTATTATTTATTGAGAAACATGTTAAGTTTCTGTTATTTTATGTTATACTATGCAACAGTGCCTTTGCTTTTAATGTTTGATGAGTTTTGTTCTTCTATAAATGTTTCAAGCTTTGATGAATGATGTCTATGTTTAATTGTGCAATTTGTGCTGTCATTTTTATTTGATTCTGTTTGTGTTTTCTTCTAGGGAAACACATCTTTGGTATGTTTTACCCAATGAGGTGAAGAGTATGTCTCTCCTAAGTCAATATTCAGAGCTTCTGTCACCTTGTGAGAAAGAAGATATTAACTGCATCCGTGGAGATGACCTAAGGAAAAGAGCCTTGCTTGCTCGCGCACTGGTTCGCACTACCATTGCCAGATGTAGGTCCTTTTGTTACATGTTGTATTTTGCACATATTCTTCACCCCCC